GTCCAGGGTTACTCTGGCGCTACTCTGACTAAGAGACTGTAAGTTCAGGACACATACATGCAGTTGCGTGCTGCCAGGTCCCGGTGGAGGAAGTTTCTGCCGCTGAGATACTCCATTCCTTGAGCGATGCCAATCATGAACTTCAGGAGCATCTGCGTAGGGAGATACTGGAAATACAACACCACTTCCTATTAGACCGACACAGTTTGGTTCATGCATGTAGTAGACAAACAGTAAAGTTGTTGTTTTTTTGCCATCTTACCACAGGATCTTCCCTGAGACGGGAGCGAAGGAGGAAGCTGTGCAGGTCTCCATACTTCATGAAGGGAAGAACAACCATCGGTTTAGGAAAGTGGCCTGAAACAACCTCTAAACAAACACCTGTGTGAACAAATCAACATTATAACAAAAGATTAACATCATTTTTCTGAACATATTATGGATTTGAACACTATTTCATATGAATATCAGATTGTTTTTATTCTATTTGTTAATAATGAGCATTCAGGCATGTTTCTTACCCAAGAGTCTGATGACGTTAGGATGGTGAAAATCCTTCATGCAAGCAGCTTCATTCAGAAACTCTTCGATCTCTCTCTGGGAGAAGTTATCCACTGAAAGAGGCAGAAATCAATGATTCATATCTTTTATTATATTCTCTTCTTGGCCTATCTAGCTATACAGATATTTCATCTAATATACGTTTAGTGCCTCTGCAGGCCCTTGTAATGATCTATACAGGTAGCTGTTAGATTAGTTCATGCTACTTGAATCAAGTGTTGAATATGTGGCTAATATATTACCATAAAATCAGCTCTAAAATCACTAAAACAAGAGTACTTCAAAATGCTAAAACTAGCAATATCCAGATTAATATCCAGTTTCTATCAATATCCAGATTAAAAATGTCCCACCACTGAGTCACGGAAGATGCACAGTTAACATTTATGACATAATTTACAGACACTTTTGTATTTGATGTTGATTTGATTTTAGGGAACGCTCACAATTGGTTATACTGAGAAT